ATGTTGCCCTCCGGAACACTGCCACCAACATAGCAATCCACCCTTACCTAGCCATGTAAAACTGTGTACTGCAGTTAGGGACAGTGCTCTCAGGCGCTCCAGAAACCAGCTCCTTAGGAGTGAATGTCCAGATGCTGCTCCTAAGCCTAATGTGTTAGGACAGAAACCAGGAGTTGGGAAAGTCTTACACATGGTGACCTCTAGAACAGGGCCACCAACATGGCAATCCACCCTTGCATTGCCACCATCTGCATACTGTCAGAGCTAATGAGTGGGGATATCTTAAGAAAGATATTCCTGAGCTCTGGGTTTGTGTTTCCTCCTCACATCCAAATGCAGCAGGAGCTTGGAGCTCCAATGCATGGGTCTTGCAGGTGAAGGGGGCCTGATGGCAATTCTTGCCTCTTGGAAGAGTGTCTCTTTGCGGTTGCTGAGCTCAGAGCTTGCTGGGAGATGGGAAGATACTGCACAGTAGAACTCATCCCTTGGAGCAGGGACTTCTTGGTTGGTCCTGTGCTTCTAGTGGCAAATTTAACCTTAGATTTTTGGAACACTGCTGTTCCATGCACTAGTACACTCTGTGCATCTGTACCGGACTTTATGTATCAGTAGGAAGGATTGCTGCATCTCCCCACAGGAATGTTAAAAGGCTTAAAAAGGCAGCTAGCAAGGGGCTCCTCACTGCTGATACTGTGCAGGAGGATTTCACCATAGCCCAGTGTGAATGGAATGTTGCTACCTGTTCCCACACTCTCCATGTGTGCAGACATGCAGTTACACCACACATCAGACAAAAAAAGAAGAGTTTCCCAACTGCAGATTTGATGCTCCATTACAGAATGGAGCATGACAGCTACTACACTTTATGGGTTTAACAGCTGTAGCAACCAAGATTTATAATGACACATTCAGCAATGCATCACGTAAGGAAACTAATCTGACAGCGCCAGGTCACTGAGCCAACTTACAAGTTTTTAAGTGTTTATTCTGCCAAATTTGCTGCCCTATTTACTGGACTAAAGCGAACAAGTTGTGCTGTGTTCATAAAACTCTGTACTTGCCTCTGTTTTGGCAGCTCTCAGATTCTTTTTCCCTGTTATGCTGCTATTCTGGGAACCATTTGGTTCTTCTTTCCCCATCCTCTCTCTGAAAACTCTTTAAAGCATTTCCCACAGCATGTATCCCAAAAGGGGGTACACCATAGGATATGGAAGAGAAGGGACTGTAGCTGGGAGGAGGCGCTGTGGACACAGGCAGAGATGAGGGATGGAGCGACTGTGGGAGAAGGGCCCACAGCCGTCTGGAAGATGCTGGTTGCCCAAGGGCAGAGGGAGACTGTGGCTGTGGCTGCTCACTGCCTTTAGGCAGGAATTTGTATCCCAGTCACTTGCAAAGATTGGGATCATCTGTTACTTCTCCCTAGACCCGGAGTTACATCTGGCAGCAGGAAAGTCAGTTCTAAAAAGGGTGAAACATTAAGACTGTACCCTGGGGCTGGATCCAGGCCCACTTCAGAGCCACCCGAGCAGTAACCTTCTAATCTCTCATCTTGCCAGTGGGCTGTGTGCTTCCACGTTTGCCATCCTCACAGCACAGTCATCCACTGCCCAGACACAGGCAGATAGATAGCAAAGGATGGCTCTCGTCAGGGGTAAATGGGCTAGTTCTCCTAGAGGTTCATTACTCAGAGATGCATTCTCATTATCCCTGCAACTCATCCAGGAGTTCAGTCCAGCAAGCTTTAAATCCCATCCCACAAACCCTTTCTGTGGGACCAGTGAAGAACAATAAAGAACAAGTGTTTTGCCATGTGTAAATGCACTGCAGAGAGTGCAGCACTTCCACTGACAAATACTCAAGGTCTGCAAACCAGAGGAGGCAGAGAACGCCCTAGGTATCCTTTTAAGATGGGGTGGAGATACCTCTTTGTTTTTACAAACGTTGATATGAAAATATGAATATGTCTTGTAAACAAATAATGTAATGTGTGACCCTTTTATTAACGCTTTAACATCTGTAATGCAGCAGTATGTGCTGCAGTTTATTTTTACCTTTATTGGTATCTAACGAACATTGCAAATGTCTTTATCAACAGGTAATTTAATCGCTCTTTTCCAGAAAATACACTGCCCAAAATAATCAGTTATTGTCAAAAGACAGTAGTATTTGAGGCAGAAACATGCGGAAAAAATAGTCTTAAGAGGCAAGACATTCACTGTTTTAACCTCCAAGTAAGAAACTTCCTAACTGGTGTTAGGAAGAAATAACTGTCATTTCTGCTCCTACTTCTTTTTGAGTTCCCTATTTCTCTTTTTTGTTTTAGAAACACAGGAAAAACATGTAAAGAGAGATCTGGAGCCTCATGTCCGACTCCACACCACCACAGACAACCACATCACATACTTTCTTCTCTAGTTCCATCTTGAAACGAGTTAGTTTTATTTCCCCCTCCCTCCCTACTGCAATGTTCTGGATTCATAATTATCTCATGGGACAAAAAGATGGTCCCATGAGCTTGCCTTGAACCCTATTCTTGTGTCAATGTTATCCTTTAATTTTAAATAGCTTTTTGTTTCCTGTTATTTATCCCAACGGTGCACTACAGTAAAACAAATAAACAAACAACCCACCCATATTCCTGCTCAGCTTTAGCTCTGTTGGTGAAACAAGGCAAGTCTGTTTGTGTTTGCTTGGCAAAGAGGAGCTTTTCAGTTTCCTCTTACAAGGTCAGCTCTTCCCTCTGTGTGTGTGCAGGTTTTCATTCATTTTTTTTCACTGCCTATGACCAGTGTAGCAGATGCATTGGGATTTTTTTTTCCTTCAGTGCTTTGTAATGCCCTTTCCCCTCAATGCTTTGTGAATACTTTTTTACCTATACTAGAACTACGTCAACTGTCCTGTCCTAGGATAAGCTTTGCCTTTCTTATAGCCCCCTTTATACCGAGTCCCAGTTATCCTACAGAAAGCAAATACCCCAGGTCCTTTCTGTCCCCTTTTGCTGAAACACCGGAGGGTTTATAGAAGAAATTGTAGCTTTTTATTAAACTGATCTTTATTATTTGGTATCTCCAAGTTACGCACTGCTTCCCATCTTAACAGTTCCATCCTCCTCCATGTCCCCAGTGCCTCCCACAGCCCATCACCTGTGGTGTTCAGCAGCACGCTGTTTCAACGCTATTGCTGCATCCTTGTAAGCACATCCTTGTACTTTCTGTATGAACTCCTACTCTGGCTGTTTCTGATGGAGCACTATGGTCAAACCCTTCAGCAGAGCCTGGAAATTTTGGGTCTATGCCGACGGTTGTTCTGCACAAGACAAGGTACCTTTGGGGAAACCTGTTGTTATTTCAGCCTGCTTTTCATTGTAGTCCACTTCCCTGCCTTACAAAGTCACAGGATGGTTGGGGTTGGAAGGGACTGCTGGAGATCACCAGGTCCAACCTCCTGCCAAGGCAGGGCCACCTATAGCAGGTTACACAGGAACACATCCATGGTGGGGTTTGGATGTCTCCAGAGAGGGAGACTCCACAACCCCTGGGCAGCCTGTGCCAGGGCTCTGCCACCCTCAGCATAAAGAAGTTCTTCCTCATGTTAGGGTGAAACTTGTGTTTCAGTTTATGGTCATTGCTCCTCATCCTGTTGCTGGCACAACTGAAGAGTCTGGCACCATCCTCCTGGCACCCACCTCTGAGATACTGATCTGCACTGGTGAGATGCCCTCTCAGTCTGCTCTTCTCTAACTAACTAGACCCAGCTCCCACAGTCTCTCCTCATAGGTGAAATGCTCCAGATCCCTCATCATCCCTGTGGCTCTCTACTGGACCCACTCCAGTAGCTCCTTGTCTTGTCCTGAGGAGCCCAGCACTGGACACAGCACTCCAGATGTGGCCTCTCCAGTGCCGAGTAGAGGGAGAGCATCACCTCCCTCGACCTGCTCCTGCCGCACTCCTCCCGATGCACCCCAGGGTACTGTTGTCCCCCGGAGCAGCAAGGGCGCACTGCCGGCTCAGAGTCAACTTGACATCCACCGACACTCCATCGCTTTCCCTTTCTGCGTGCAGTCAGATATAGGGGGGAGAGTAGCAGCAGGTGAAAACAGCCACCCCAGACCGAACTCCACCGGGTTCCTGGGCCGAGCTCCCGAACAGCGGCGGGAAGCCTGGGACCCCGGTACCTTGAGGGAGGGGAGCCCCGATGCTCGAGGGAGGCAACACCGCAACCGTTACTGGCGCTGCCGCCGCCCCGCCCGGCGGGGAAGGGCGGGGCGCGGCGCGGGGCGGGGATAAAGGGCGGCAGCGGAGGCTGAGGGGTGCGTGCGGGAGGCTGGTGCGGTCACTCGGGGAGTGCGGCGCGGCTGTGCTGACCGGTGAGGAGCGGGGACGGGACGGGATGTGGCGGCTCCTCGGGTCCTGGCTCCGCTGATAAGCGGGTTCTCCTCCATATGAGTGGTCGGTGATGCTAAAAGCGGTTGCTGGGGTTTAAAGCGGCGCTTTCCGCGTTGCGGGTCGTGCGTTGCCCGTTACGGAGCGGCAGAGCCCGCTCGGCTTTGCTCTCGGGAGTTGAGCCTCTCCGGTGCCGCTGGGGTCTTGAGGCACTGCGGTGCCACAGGGCCATGCTGTCGGTTTGTTAGGTGTTGGGTCAAGTTATACGTCGTATAGGGGAGAAACTGCCGCTGGAGGGTGAAGTGCTTCACTGTGCCAAAGGTGAAAGTATCTTGTTCTCGTTTCTCTTGTCTCTGATTTGAGCTCTGCATCCTATAGAATGGGTATACACTTGGTATTGAATAGGCAGTGCTTGTCTTTGCTTCAGAGTTAGCTGCTTCCCAGTGAATGAGCATCTTATGAGCACTTCCCTGGCAGTGGGAAGGTAGGATGGGGCTTGGAGCAACCTGGTCTAGTGGAAGGTGTCCCTGCCTGTGTCAGGGGGTTGGAACTGGATGAGCTTTAAGGTACCTTCCAACGCAAACCACTCTGGTTCTGTGATCTTCATTTATCAGATGATCTTGTGATGGCAAATATGAGTGGTGAAAAAACAGGCATTCAAATACATTAAAATCACTAAAGACCTGTTGTTGCTAATATAAGCCTTGTAAAGTAGGCAAATGGGAGTGATTTAGGGCTGGGAGGCTTGATTCTCAGATTGATAGCCTGAGAATTAAATTCTCCACTGAACTGGAAATGAAATACTTTATCTTCCTCCTATAAGGACAGCAATATGCAGCATTGTCCCGGGTGAGGATCACCAAGCAGAGCCAGGTGTGCATGGTGTGGTGGGAAATATAGTGTCCTTTCTGGTTGTTGTGTAGGCTGCATGTGTTGTAGCTGCCGAGGAGGCTATGAATGGGAAGGATGAGAAGGAATGTTTTCAGAGGTGGTAGCTGAAAACACTTGTAGCTTAAGTTGAAAGTCACAGAGGACACTCGTGTTCTTTAGTGATTTGAAGGATTTAATGGAAATACAGTGGGCTTACCATGAAAATGTACTTTAATGTGCTTGAAGTGCCTGAGGGTGGCTTCTGGCAGGCTGTGGATGTCAGGTTTATGCTGTGTGGGAGCATTAAGGATTGAGTTTGAAGAACCCCTTGATTTGTCCTAATTTCACCTTGTGAATCACAGCTTTGGTTTTGTGCCTCCTGGTGCTGATGTGACCCCCAGCTGCAGAGTTTGTCATGCAGCAGCTCATGCGTAAGGACTGAAGTTACTTCCCCAGGAACACTTTTACCTTACTGTGTACTTGATCTTGGATTTGACTCTCTTTGGAGGAAGTGACAGGTCAAATGAACTGCTCCAAAATTTCAAGCGCTGAAAGAGGACAGGGATGAAATAACAGCTGCTCTCTGAATCTTGCTTGAGAAGCATTCCATGCACTGTGCAGTTACATGTTAGGAAGCTATGCAGTTGAGCTTTAAACAGTTCTTGGTAGGCAAGAGTTAACTGACTTAAGTTTGACTAGACTGACCTTGGCAGCTGCAGTCTTCACAAGTACTTGAGGCAGAAGGAGGTGAGGCCTCAGTTTGTAGCTGTCAGGAAGCACCTGGCCACAGTAGAAACCTGTAATGTTAAGTGTATTAATACCAGTAGGAGTTGGGTAAGTGTAGAACATGTGTATCTACATACTTCAAAACACAAGCCACTTAAGCACATCTTGGCAACTGTGACAAGACTCCTTAAAAAGTGCAGAAGTTAGGCGAGGCTGTGACCAATTCTGGCCAGAGAGGTTCTCAAGTCCTTAGTATAACACTGACATAATACACATGTGGCAGCTCTTAGAAGCTTGTTTTTTTTCTCCACAGATGAGCAAAAGGTTGGGGCAAATGTGAATATTTCCCCAAAGGTAGTTTAAGAAGGGTGAAGAGTTGCATACAAAGACTGCAGTGCAGGTTGTATAGTTGTTACCTGACTTTGCAGCTGGAATTCTGTCCAGGATGCTGAACTGCTGTAGCTTTTTGCAGGAGTAAGGGTACTTGGTCTTTATCCCAGGAGTGGTAGATGCTGGATGGTTGAGAAAGCAAAAACTTCTATGGTAAGGAGGAAATCTCTCTGGCATAATTAAAGTGGTTTTCAGTGGGCTAGATATCTAAGCCCTGAGACTAATAGCTGAGGGTCTTCCAGTTGGAGAGAGCAGTTTGAGCTTTACGTGTAATGAAACAAGTTCAAAGCTTAGCTTTCAGAAGTGTTTTGTACTTACAGCTCCGTGTGTCTTTGGCTGGTGCTGCAGATGATCTTGAAGTTAGGTAAAGCTTATATGTCATCTTCATTGATAATTTCCCTTTGATACAAATTGCTTTGCTTAAGTACTGAACTCTACCTCACCAAAAAAAGGACAGTGACACCTCAGTGTTTTGTCTGCATCATTAGAGAATCTGTGCATCATTTGAGCTGAAAGGCTTGCTGGTAGTTGTTTGTACATAGAATTATTTCTGTTTATTTGTGTCTGTGTGTAGACAGAAAAGCAGAACATAGAATATACCTAGGAATCATACAGAAAAGTCTAAAAAAAAGCCTTAACTTGTCTTTTTTGTATATATTTCACCTCCCTACAGTTTCTTTGGAGAAGAAAAATCTTAAGATGGCAGGCAAAGGAAGTAAGACAGACTGCATGTCATGCAGTGTACTGAACTGGGAGCAGGTCAGCCGTCTGCATGAGGTTCTTACAGAGGTGGTTCCGATCCATGGCCGAGGTAACTTCCCAACACTGAAGATCACTCTGAAGGACATTGTTCAGACAGTTCGGAGTAGGCTGGGCGAAGCAGGCATTGTGGTACATGATGTCCGTCTGAATGGCTCTGCAGCTGGTCATGTCCTGGTCAAGGATAATGGGCTGGGATGCAAGGACCTGGATCTCATTTTTCAAGTTTCTCTTCCAAGTGAGGCAGAGTTTCAGTTAGTTCGAGATGTGGTGTTGCGATCCCTCTTGAATTTCTTGCCAGAAGGAGTAAGCAAGCTAAAAATCAGTTCAGTAACACTGAAGGAAGCCTACATCCAGAAGCTAGTCAAAGTGTACACAGAATCTGACCGCTGGAGCTTGATATCACTTTCCAACAAACATGGTAGGAATGTGGAACTGAAGTTTGTAGACTGTATACGACGACAGTTTGAATTCAGTGTGGACTCCTTCCAAATCATACTAGACTCCCTGCTCTTTTACTATGACTACTCTGAAACCCCCATGTCAGAGCACTTCCATCCAACTGTGATTGGGGAGAGTATGTATGGAGACTTCGAAGCAGCTTTCGATCACCTCCAGAACAAGCTGATAGCTACCAAAAACCCTGAAGAGATCCGTGGTGGTGGGCTGCTTAAGTATAGTAACCTTTTAGTGCGAGACTTCAGGCCCATGGATAAGAACGAGATCAAAACATTAGAGCGCTACATGTGCTCCCGATTCTTCATAGACTTCCCAGACATCCTGGATCAGCAACGTAAACTAGAGACCTACCTCCAGAACCACTTCTCCAAAGAAGAGAGGAGCAAATATGACTACCTCATGATTCTGCGCAGGGTGGTGAATGAGAGCACAGTCTGTCTCATGGGACATGAGCGAAGGCAGACTCTCAACTTGATTTCTCTGCTAGCGCTCAAAGTGCTGGCAGAACAAAACATCATCCCTAATGTTACTAATGTTACCTGTTACTACCAGCCAGCACCTTATGTTAGTGATGTAAACTTCAGCAACTACTACCTTGCAAATGCTCCTCTGCCATACAGCCAGTCGTATCCCACTTGGCTGCCTTGCAATTGATTGCTTGAATGTTCTTGAATGGAGGCTACTGAAGGCCAAGATGTTGAGTGTATATAGACAAGTAATAACTGTTAGAGGTTTTTCTAATGGAAACATGACTGCATTGGACTGTCCATTTCCTGGTGTGTGATAGAAATATGCAACCAGGTGACCTGCTATCACTATGTATCTACAATTTCTGAGAAGCCTTATTACCTCTTCATTAGAAGAGAATGAATCAACAGCCAAATGTTAAGAGGAGTGGTTACAAAACTCTGTACTAGTTCTGGAAGTGGCTGTTAACATATGATCTAAGTGGAGCATTCAGTAAACTGGACTAGTTACCTGACTGTAATGAGACTGTAATGTCTTGAGCAGAGAAGCAGCCACTTCTGGAGTAGCAGCAAAACTGTTTTCTATTGCCTAACCTCGTTATTCTATACTTCCTCAGTTCAAGTTCTGGCCAACTTTCTATTGAACTAATTGTGCAAGAATGGCTCATGTTGTGCTTGGGCTGCTTCTACTTTCTGGCTGTGTAGAACTGGTAATAGTATGGATGCTGTTTGTTTTGTAAAGGACCTAAATGTTGTTTCCCATAGTACCTAGGCATACATGGTCCTGCCTCAAGTTCAAGATTAATTTATTGGAAGTTGAAGATGGATTACTAAGTCTGTCTTTACAGCATAAACTGGCTGAGTTTTTCTTGAGTACATAAATTTGGAAGGTGGCATCTCTAAACATGCACAAAAATACAACCTTAAACTTGGTAATGTGGGAAGTCCTTGAAATGAGGAAGCCTTAAATAGAATTGGAACCACAGCTTGATTAGTTGAATCCAGACTCAAGATAAAGCCTTTCTGAATGCATCTTTCAAACCAGTTTTTGTCACAGCTGGAAAGTAGCACAGCTCTTGCATTTAAGTTTGCCCCAACTTTCTTCTTCACAGGTCTACAGCAAGCAAAAAAAAGGAAGAAAAGCCACCACCAAAAAAAACCCAGACCACTAAGTTGCAGGATGATGTGTACTCCTGCCACAGCACAAACTCCTAAAGTGCCTCTAAAATAAAGTTCTTGTTGTACAACTTCAGGCAAGTCCTGAAGGCTTGTCTTTCTGCCGGCATTTAGGGGTTGAGCTTTGTGGTTTATCACTGTCACCTGGTTACGGTATGTGATGGTATTTTGAGTGGTTAGCGTAAAATTCTTCTTCTTTATTGGTCTTAACCTTCACTTGAAGAGGTATATAAACCCTCAACGGAGCTCTCCACAGAAGCTGTATGTGTTGAAAGCCTGTTCCTGTTTTCAGAATATCCTCTAGAAGAGTCTGTACTCCCTTGGAGGGGTAGGGGGCTGACCTTCCTAAAGGGTGTGTGCTGAACTTGCTGCTTTGAAACTCCTGTGCTTTATAAGGAAGGTTAAAAATACCCCAGTTAGTGTATAGAGTGGTATTAAACTGGTATATTAAGTGGATGATTTTTCACTGAATTGCAATAGTAAAATACATGTAGCAGATGATCTTGAGTTTTCTTTGCTTACCAGAGAATCCAACTAAAAAGGCAAATATAAGAACTATTTAATACATATTGGTGCAACGTTCAAGAATACCTGTTTGCTAAACTTTTTTGATGAGTTTTAGTTGTTTCTGCAAGCTTGTGAGACCAAAGTGGCTGATCAGATGATTTAAGATGAGAAGGTAAACCAGACAGCAGGCGAAACACCAAGGTATGGTGGTTGTTCAGGGTGGAAAACAGTAGCAGTGCAGCACTTAAATGGCAGTAAAAAACCCTGCCTGTTCCTTGTAAGACCAAAAACTTCTAGTTACATTGCAAGTTCTTTCACTTTTCAGAACTACTTCATAAAGATTGCCTCCTTAGAGCAGTGAGGTTGCTCTTCTGTTCAGACTTCTTAATCTAGTTTAGGAAGTCAGGGAGGGATACAGAAAACCTGTAGCAGAGTATGCTTTAGCTTAATCTTTTTTTCCAACAGTCTTGTAAGCAGCTTCAATAGCAAATAGACAAATAATTTGGTGTCCTCTGTATAGTGTTGGGCTTGTTTTGGTTTTGTTTTTGGTGTTTTTTTCCCATTATAGGCTTTCTGAGTAGTCAGCTAAAGGAGCTAAACCTGAATGTGAACCCAGCCTTTCTTATTAACTGTGGCTTGGACTTGGTGTAGCTTACAGACAACACACCTCTCACCCAAGGCTTAGACTATCTGGAAGGCTTTTTTAAAGCTAGCATGATGCCAGTGTTGTCACGTGTGTTAAACTTAGTGCAGGCTTACTGCTGGAATGCAAACCTAGGCATTAGTAACTTTGGCATGCAAGGCAATACTTGGCCTAGTATAAAGTGTTGCTAGAAAGAAGGAACTCTTTTTTTTCTTAGGAGTCTGTAATTGCTACCATCCTTTCAATAGATGTTTTTAAAGCCAGCCTAAGCTATACCCATTGCAGAAGTAAACCATTGCCTAGAGGCAATGTTTGATTTGCATATCAAATAGCCTAGAGTATGTATCTGTCTTGTTGTGGCTGGTTTTTAGAAACTGTTCCTGTATGTCAGCTCATATGGAAGAAGTGGTCAGAGACTCAGGAGGAGTCCTTACAGGCTTGAAACAGACTTGTTTTGCTAGTCTTCAGATGCCTTGGCAGGTGAATGTCAGGCCAGGTATATCTACTGGAAGAGGAAGTGCTAGAAAAAAGGCTCTAATGAATCCCTACTGGGATAAAGCTATGGAGAATCTAAGCTTTCTGCCATAAAACTCTACTTTTGCTAACGTTAACTTATTGTTGAGCTCTCTAAGGAAGCTTTATGTTGAATGGCTTCTTACTGAACGGCTGACTTGGTTTAAGCTTTGCAGGACTGCTGTGCTCCCTGTTTCTTAAGCTGCTCTGGCATATTAGAAACATAAATGCTTTGTAGCCTGGATGCTAGATGTGAAGTGCTTGAATAGTTAAAACTGTATCTGGAAGCTGCACACACTGCATTGGCCGTGCTATATAAGGGATTGCTGGGATACTGTCTCATAGCCTTCAAAATAATCCTGGTTTGGCATGTAAAGCTGGAGTACTTGGTAGCTTTTCATCATTGTGTTGCAACCAGACCAACCCTTTCTGTTTCAAGTTGTCCTAATAGCTTTGTGTTGCATGTGGCAGTGGCTTAATTTAGTGTGTGCTAGCGGGTTTGTGTTCAGGTCTATGGTGGTCCCTGTAGCAAGGAGTAACATGAGAATGAGCACTAGGTAAGTTAAAAGTGATGACCCTAGGCCAACTCTAGGCTGCCTGCTTAATTCAGTCTCCCTTCAGGACTTGATGATGCCTCTGCAAACCTGCTCTGTCCTCTGTAGACTGCTACGCTTATTGCATTACCTCTGGCAGTGATATCAAAACAAAGCTGTACTAACACTAGAATGCAAGTCTAGTATCAGTGCATCATTCCTCAGGACTAGGATTCTGATAAACTAGACAGTGTAGTTTAAAATAGCTGCTTTCTTCCTGTAGTTTATAAGTTCTGCTGGGCTAAGCCAGTCTGAGGTTAAACATCTGTGGTCACTATTTATTGCCAAGCTCCTGCTTAACTTAGAATTTACTGGGGTGACTTCTTCATTGTAAGAGATGAATCTTTTTGTTTGATAAAGTTGCTACCAATGGAGACCTAGTAGTAGACTGGGTGTTAGTCACTTTGGTAATATCCCTGAGCTGATCCATGGTAACTCTGAAGAGTTGTAAGGGAAAACATACTTCATGCTCACTGAGCCCAAGATTTAATTGCTGCTGTGTTTGTCCTTAGCTAGTTCAGTCAATCACTAAGACGGAGGTTGAAGACTCCTGCTTGCTTTCAAGTAACTGGTTTTTTAAAGATCCTCACACTTTAACTTTCATAATCCTGTCTACAAAACAGTAGGTAGTATTTAAATATAGTCCAAATACCTGAAGCTTCTTATTGAAATTTAAAGACCCATATTTTGGGATTGAGTTCTGGGGTTAGGCATTTCGTATGTCTTGTGCCTAGGCTTTGTGGGCTTCTGATCGCTAGAATAACTACTAATGTTGGTAGTGATCTCTGCTTATTGCTATATGAGTGCTTGGGAAAAGGCCTCATAGAAGACAACTTGGACAAATTGCTTCAATTCTAAGCTGTCAGTGTACTGATGAGTCTGTTTTTACTATTCCTCTCAACTCAGTCAGGTTGCCGTAATTGTTGAGCACAGGAATAAGCAATAAATTGACTATAGTCGCTGGCAGCTTGGTCAAATTTGGGCATTGGGAGAGCCAGATGGATTGTAATACTTGTGGTCTTTGCCACCTAAGTCTTAACCATTTGTTAAGCATGAACTGTGTTTATGTTCTTTAATTTCAATGAAACTAGTTATAGGGTGGGATGCTGGGCTGTAGTTGTAGGAGCTTTGGGGGGAATGGTTGGAGCACTCTGTTTTTTCCTACTCAGAAGAGAAGGTCATTTGCTGAAGGATCTGGATTGGGCTTGTCTCTGATTGAAATTGCACTTTCTGTTAAAATTTAGAAGGCTTTTTTTTTTTCTATGTTTACCTTTGTTTTTTTAACTATTAAAAGAAGTCAGCTCTGGGAAAATCCTCATACCTCTTTGGAAGAAATTAGTTGGGTTTTTTTGGATTGGTTGGTTTGGGCTTTTTTTGTTTGTTTGCTTTTTGTTGTTCATTTGTTTTTTAAGCTGGCAAAACAAAGTACTAGAAATACTTGGACTTGTGATGAGCCCAAATGTGAGATTGATCACAGTAACTGTGTCTACTGTTCTGCACTGCGGTGTTCACTTATCATTCTTGGAATTTGGGGTTTGGACCTTGATGAATCTGAAATTCTTGTGCAAATAAACTTATGCTAAACATTGCTTGCCTCAAGTAATTCTTGCATCGAAATTAGTGCTGACAAAATATTTGGGGGGCTTATTGGCCTGTGTGTGTAGATATGCTGGGGGGAAAGGAGAAATAGCAATGGGATACACAGTAATGCTTGGGTTTAGATGTTATTCAAGGTACTCTTTTTTTTCTTCATGAATGTACACATTTGCCTCAGCTTACTGAAGATTAGTCAGTGAGACGTCTATCTTTCACTTGCATTATAGTGGCATATTTTAGTCCATTTTTGCGCTGACCATTATCTGACCTCAATTTGAGTTTAAGACTGTGCCTCAAAATGTTTCAGGCCTGTTAGTGTCTGGTCTGAGCTAGAGCATGCCAGCCTGTTCTGTGATGTGCTCCATATCCTACTCCAAGTCAGGGGCCCCTTCAGACCTCAACTTGTGAGCCAGGCAGCTGAGAAATAAAGTCAGCAGCTGTTCTTCAGGTTAGCTGACAGGTTGAAAGCCCTTATGCTTTCGCTGTCTGAAGAACTACTGTTCTTCATCAGAACATCACTGTCTGATGCTTCTACAGACTGATGGTTAGTGTGGGTTGAGCAGGTCAAAGCTAAATAAAGCTAGGAGTGTGTGGCAGTCTGCTTGCTGCTCCTTCTGCTCTAGGATTGAGAATAACTGTACTGTAAGAAGTGCACTTGCTTCCGATCCTCTCCAGAGCTCAGACAAGCTCTAGCCTCTCAGTTAAGTAATGCTGGAGAAATGCTAGTCTTCAGGGCCTTGTAACACCTGCAGTGGAAACTTCTGTGCAGATCAGCAGAGGCAGTGTGATCCCATTGAAGTAATTGTGGAGCTTGTGGAGTCCTTTTTCAAAGTGTAACTGCTTCTCTCTGAACTTAAATGGAGAGCTGATAATACAGCTGGGCAACATAAGCCATCTGCTTGTCACCTGAAACTTCTTCACCTCAACTCCTCAGTTCATGTCATCATAAAAGCTTCAGAGTTATTTTGGGTAGCATCCTTAAGTTTCTAGAATACCAAACTTGGCTTTGCAGGGTCAGATACTGAAACAGAAAAAGAGCTATGCTTAAGCAAGTGGTGGTATGTACTCTTTCAATTCTATAGGGAATGTACGTAATGGTAAAAATTGTGAGGAACTGAAGAAGAAAGCTATTCTTGCTCTTTTGCTGTTGTATTGTTGGTGAAAATGCAATTACAAGTGTTTTGTCCTGTTGCAGTGCTAGAATCTGGCCTTTTCCATGCTGTGGGAATATGAGCTCAGTCTTGTGATGGGGTAGGAGAGGCATTAGACAAATGTTGTTCTAAATTGTTGCTGTTGTTCAGGCAGATGTACTTATTTCCTTCCTTCCATGATGGAATAGTTAATAGAAATTGGAGTATTCAGAGTGCCTTTCCAGAGTAGATGCTCCTGTGAGAGAATCAAAGACTTTTCTTTGTATGCCTGCTTATTTTGAATACTGCTTATTACATATCAGTATAGTTAGTTCACTAATACACTAAATAATCAAAGTTACTATTTTCAGCAATAAAATAGCATTTCTCCAGCAACTTAAAATGGAGGTATATCAAAAAGTGTAACACACCACCTCACTGTGGGTGTTAGACATAGTGGTTCTGCTTTACTGTAGTAGCAGTGCCGCAATCTGTTCTGCTTTGTCTCAGCGAGAGAAAGATGAGCTCCATATCCCATAAGCAAGACTGCCTGGTGAAGGGAGCAGTTAACCTGCCAAGCCTGAGTAATTTTCCTAGTAGGAAAGAGTTGAGTCATATTGCTGGAAAAAAGAGAGTCTTGCCAAGAACTGTGCAAAGCAGCTGCTAGATCCTAAACTG